TAAAATTATTCTCCTTTGGAACATAAGTGAATTGAATAAAGAAAAATTCAAATAAGTCTAGGTAGGTTATTCCAATGAGCTTAAGAAACTCTTCTTTGACTCGATTAATAATCAAATAAAAGTTCTCAGTTTCAAGAATTACAGTAGTAAACACCATCTAACCGTAGCTTGAACACTGAATGACTGAGCAGAGAAGAGTTTTATAAGATCCTGTAAAAGAAAAAGAACTGAAAAAAAAAATTGAAATGCAGCAGTTGTGTAGTATTTGCTACACCATTTAGTTACATCTTTACACCATATATGCATTTGTCAGAATGCATGCAGAAGTATGAAACCAGAAGTACAAACTAGTAATTTCATCATGGTGCCACTTTATAAATGCCTACCCAATAAAATGCTGCAATAAAGCAGAAAAAAACACTCTGCTGACTTTTTCCTAAAATATCTGGACAAATTTACTTTGCAGCAAATAACCAAACCACAAATGTGATTTAAAAAATTCATACAAAAATTGACATCTCATAATATGTGTTGTTTTTCATCAATTGCAGGTTAACAAGTTAAAAGAAAAATGAAATCACTTTGTAATTTGCATTACTAAAATTAATATCTGAATAAACCTGTATGTGCAAAGTGTGCCGTTAAAATATGTCTGTGAAGGTTCTCAGTCATCCAGGTCATCGTAGTCAAAGGAGCTTGCAAAGAAAAGCGTCTGGACTTCTTTAAGTTACTTGAAGACGTTTCACCTCTCATCCGAGAAGCTTCTTCAGTTCTAAGGTCAAATGGTGGGGAGTCCCAGATTTAAACCTAGTGGGAGTATCCCCCCACAGAGGGACAAAAGGACCCCCTGATGATCCTCTAATCGCCTGAGCCAAGGTGTGAAACTGGGTGTGGGTCCCAATCAGCCAGAGTTTCAGGTGAGCTCATTGTGAAACCTGGCCCCACCTTATCATGCGAATTCCTGAGGTCAGATGGCCCAGGATGTGAGTGGGTGTTAAGGCGTCTGGGGAGGGAACTCAAAACTGGATTATGGATTATAGACAGTTGGTGTCGTAAACCCCCGCCTCTGTTCAAAGATGGTCGCTCACAGTGGACATAGATGGCTTCTTTCACTCCTCTTTCAAACCATCTGTCCTCTCTGTCCAAAATGTGAACATTGGCATCCTCGAAAGAGTGTCCTTTATCCTTAAGATGCAGATGGACTGCTGAGTCTTGTCCTGTGGAGGTGGCTCTTCTGTGTTGTGCCATGCGCTTGTGAAGTGGCTGTTTGGTCTCTCCAATGTAGAGGTCTGGGCAGCGAGGAATGCCCAAACCTCTTTAATGTGCCGTTAAAACGCTTGTTTGCAGAGCTTGGCAAACTATTACAAACAGCTAACTGAAAGAAAGGATGGGCTCAAACAACTCCAAGAAAAAAATAATAAATCCAATGAGTGGCCTAAGGTGGTGGTTATGGTAAATGGACTGGTTTAGTGTATTTCAACGCTACTTGAGCACTTTATACAATATGTGTCATTCACACCCGCCCATTCGAGCAGTTTTTATTCTAAGCTTAAGTGCCATCTCACATTGCACTCCAATGGATGCAAGGTACTTATGCTGGAATATTGGCATGCAGACTGGAGCAGCCAGGGACTGAACTACCAACTTCTCAATTGTCAGATGACCACCTTTGCCTCCTAAGCAACAGTCACCCTGGTTATTTCTGATTATCTGTATTTACAAATTGTGTTAGTTTGTTTTTTCATTTTTATTAAAAGGAACAAAATGAAGAGTGTAAAGAGAAAACTGGGAGGGTGGGGCAAAATAGAAATTGTCAAAAATGAGTCAATATTTTTTTATTGATTAATTGAATCTTTATTTTGAACATGTTGAAAAAGTACAACAACATAGAATTAAACAGAGACAAAGCAAAATGAGCAACCACAACTACAAATAACTTTAATGTTCAAAAAGGAGCGGGAAGAAGCATAAGCTTATTTAATCCCACCCCTTTTCCACCATCTAGTAATCAATAGACTGCAGAAATACCTCCTTGCAATTACATTATATGTCACATGTATTTTTTAAGAGAGTGAGAGAGAGACAAGCAACAAGCTGTTTTTTTCTGACTTGTTTTTTTCCCCCCCGGTGCCATTTGAGTAAAACTGATCTCTTGAAGGACCCAGCATGCCAGGTAAAGGACCTGGTGTACAACTGTACATGATTTAGTCCTGTAAAGATAGTCCATTTGCTGCTTTGACTAAGTTGGAACAGCATAACAGAACATTGCTTTTTATTAGTTAAAAGCAAGCTTAACAGTTCAGGCTACATAAGCCCAGCATAGTGCAATAAAATAGTGACTTTCCAACATTACATATCCACCCGACCCCCCTTTGTTTGGTGGGTGGTTGCAGACAACAGGGACATTAATCATTTAAATTTGAGCCCCCAACATCCAAATATCATCAAGTCTGCTTATTAATTCCAATCACCTTTGCACTAAATGCTCATAACATTTATGATTCTTGAGTTTGAATCTGTGGTGCTGATTGAGTTGAGCTGTTGAACAAAGAATTTCAAACCAAGAACTGGTGTTATTTAAAGCCTTTATTATATTTTCGTCAAACTATGACGAAAGGGCATTAACTGAACTTGTTGATGGAAGTGTGGAAAATTGTGCGACTGAGCTTGAGGCAGCAGAGTGTCTGTGCTTCCGCTTTCCAAGTCTGGATTAGGATTGCTTGGATATTGAGGAACAAATTGAGGGAAAGGCACAACATATTGAGGGAGTACGGTGTCCGAGCTTCCAGTAGCAGCCGCCAAATCTGCATTAGGGTTGTTCGGATATTGTGGAAGAGGGACAAACTGAGGGAAGAGAGGATACTGGGAGAGGAAATGCACATTGGGTGGACGCTGCAGTGAGTGGGGATAAGCGTCAGCGTTAGTTGTGGTTTCAGTATCTGCTGGCACAGGTAGTGGAAAGGGCAAAAGAAAAGGTGGACCAACTGGTTTGTAATCAGGTAAGAGAAACTCTGGAGGAATGAAGGATTCTGGCTTTGCAGTGGTGGTTGGGGCTGCTCTTGTGGCTGGAAGTGGGGGATAAAAGTAAGGATAGAGGGGGGGAAAGGGTGGAGGGTATTGCTGGAATGGGGGCATTTCTGACTGCTTAATGGGTTCTGCAGGATCCGATACGGCAACTGAAGGATATGGATAGTGCATTTGTTGTGGAAAGAAAAAGGGTTGAGGAACATGGGCATACAATTGGTCTGGATTTTTGCTAGTGTAGGGCATCTGGGAGTTTGATGCGGGGTCCTCAGGGGTTTGAGAGGCAGTCGTCATAAGAGCTGGTGCTGCAGGTTTGGAACACCAAAGGGAGATTGGAATACCCTGCCACCGCATTGGAAGCACATAACTGCCACCCTTTAAAACAAGAAGGAATATCAAGACTTGCGTGTTACCAGTCAAGGAGTTAAAGTTATTTACCCACTTTTAAAAGAGCCATAATTGTTAGAGATCACAATATTAAGTGTTTATGTTTAGCCAAGAGACCGTTCCAAACCCATGACTAGGAAATTAAAGCCTCGGCCATCTAAGGAAGATTTTGCATAATTTTAATTTACTTTTGATAATTAAAAAAATAATCCTAAAACCAGCCAATTTTAACAGCAGGCTGCCAATTATTCAAATATAGCATAAGACTTAATTTCAGTTAAAATTACCTCTTGAACCACACTGCAGCCATCATAGGGAACCTTCATAACAAGTGACCGTAAGTTCCTCTGCATGTTGTAGCCACAGTTGGGAGGGACCTGGCTCAGAGGTACTGGCGGTGCATTTGCTATGGGAAAAAAAGTTTACATGACGATGCAACCAAATGGACACTTTACAAAAAATAAAAATAAAAAAAATAAAAAGCCCTGCTTGCTTACCTTGGTCCACTGCTAGCTCTGACACTCCTCTTCCCGCTACCCTGAACTTCATCCGATCCCCACCGCACAGCAGCAAAGGTACCATGCGCCTCCATGCTGCTTCTCTGGAACTGGTGTCATACGTTTGGCCTTTTGACCAGCCTGACGTGGGGGAAAAAAAAAAATCAAGAAGAGCAAGTTTTGCAGTTATGCACAGAGGCATAGAGCTTTTAAATAAAAATGCAAGTACATCTCCAAATAAGCACGCTTTCCTGCAGCCAGTGTCCTTACATAAACTGTGGACCTGAAGCTTACCTATAAAATCTGCTTGATAAGATTCCTCCACGGATGAGTTTGTAGAGGCTTTCCCATATTTAACCTCTGACTCAAGGCCTGAGCCTTTCCCGACAGATTTTCCGAATACGACTTTCCCCTTTCGTGCACCTAACGCATCGGCCTCTTTGCGCCCTCCTCGCCTCTCTGTTTTCGTTAGTCGGTAACAGTCTATTGCTTGCACTAAATGGCACATCAGAATAACAGCTACAGCACAACAAACGGAGGCACGTCTCCCTTTTTCTCTACGCATCGTTTAGCTGTGCGTGTCTCCTAGAAATGTTAAGAGCTGGAAGGCGAGACTTCGCCATGGCTATTTGTGCGGCAGCAAACAAGCCAGGAGCTGCCACAGCGAATCAGAAGCCGCTGCGGGGACATCAACGGATTCTCTAATTTCCTGCACCATATGCACCTGAGTAATGTCTAGTTAACATTTTATTCTTAACGGGCTTTGTGTGTGTGTGTGTGTGTGTGTGTGTGTGTGAGTGAGTGAGTGAGTGAGAAAGGGAGAGAGAGAGAGAGTTTAATTAAGACACACAGTAATAATTAATGAGGTAAACAAAAAAAAAATAAATGCACAACCGCTGTCCCATCTAAAAATAGTATTAATGTGGCATGTGTTCAGAAACCTCTGCTACTCATAAATGGAAGGCGCAAAAACAATTTCGGTCACGGAAGCGAGTTTCAGCTGCAGTTTCCAAGCTGACCAATGAAAACTGGGGATCAACCTCTTACGTGCTTAGAAAATATCGAGAATTTGAACATCTACGATGCCATGGCAACCACCAAAGCTCCACCTGCTGGTGAAGCTGCAGAAAGGCTGTTAAATGAACCACTGAGGTGGGATTATTCCCTGCCTCCAAATCCTTTGCAAACACTAGATTACCATATTTACACATTACAATAATTGTGGAAAGGTTTTGGCTTTTTTAAAATCCGGGGTCTTACCATAGATTTTACTGTTTATTAGAAATTTATGTCAGAACGCTTATGAATGTTAGCATAACCAGTCAGACAGCAACACAGATGAGGTCTGCTGTTATGTTTACACATTGCCATACAGCTATTTCATCTCCATGGTTACTAACAACACCGGCTAGTCTGAAGAATCGCTCAATACTTGACTACCACTGCGGCAAGTACGTGGTGTTTTATTGTCGTGCTGTCTTCAGCTTATCTTCATATCTTCATAGACTATGTATAGAGGTGTTTGTTTTCACCAACTGTCAGCTTTGTCTGTCTTTTTTCCCTCCTTAAATGATGACTGCTTTTATATATGTAAAAAATATATTAGACGTATTATACTTGGGTGTGTATGTGTTAGGAATAAGTTTTGATTCCTGGTAGCACATGAGACTAGCTCATTGAGCTGAGGATGGATTGTTTTATCTTGGGATAAAGACACTAAACACAGTCAAGACAAAAAGATGAAGTCCAGCTTTTCCTGCAAGTCTGTTCAAAGTACTAAAATATCTCCTACATGTACATTGACTGGTCACTTTATTAGATTGGTGGATCTTCTTTTGGCTTCAAAACTGCCTTGACTCTTCTTGGCACAGAGACAACAAGGTGCTGGAATCATTCCTCGGATAATTTGGTCCATGTTGATATGATAGCATCACACAGTTGCTGCAGATTTGTCAGCTGAATCCCTGATTGCACCACATCCCAAAGGCCCTCTACTGGACTAAATCACCCTTTATAACCATTCTATTGTTCAGTTTGAACTTCAGCAGGTTATCTTGACCACATCCACATTGGCTGGTTAGATGTAAGTGGTTGAACAGGAATACCTAATGAAGTGGCCAGTGAGTGTATATTTATAAATACATACCAACACTGTTAACAGTTCTCTTATTCAGACTTCTGTGTTTCATTAAATGGCACTGCTACATTAGCTCGTGATCTACTCCATGTTCCAGACGACCATATAAGACCTTGATTGGTTTCACATGGTCATATAATAATCTTGATATTATTATATGGATTAATATCTCACTCTTTCTAAAATCATTGAATGTTTCCTTTTATTTGTCATTTTTTTCTCTTTGTCTGGTAAGAGGATGCGATGCAGTTGCCCAAAACCTGTCAGTGACCCACCCACCTATTGTATCAGAGCTGCGGGAGTTCTGAGGTACAATCGTGAGTCTGACAATCACAGGATGAATTTAACAACTTTTCCCCAAAGGGTAAAAATAAATTAAAAGTCAAATATCTCCTTACTTTTTAAGGAAGGAAGCAAGGTGGTACAGATAATGTTACTCTGATAAAAAAAAAAATGTTATTCAGTCCCAGACAGAATACCCAGCACAATGTGAGTACTGTGGGGAAAAGGCTCATCCTCTACTTGTTCTAACATGGGTACATAATCCTGAGGTGAGGCAGATTGTAAATGGTCAAGTCAAAATCCCTAAATTCACCTATTGTACTACATGACCTCCTTACCCCCTCCTCTGTGTCCATCACAGACCCACTTCTGTTGTGCTCAGCGGCAGCAGCTATGTCAAATCCTGGTGAAGCAGAGACTTTTGTTTGAGGAGCGATCTAACCTAACCTTTGGTAATCTAACTTCAAAAGACCAGATGGAAATTCTGTATCACAAATCCAGAGAGAGTGAAGCTTACCACAAGTTTATGAAAGGCTTTCTGAGAAAACCTAGGTACACATTTGCATGATTTTGCATGAAAATGCCTGTAAACAGAATGAAAGTAGGAACAGAAATATGACTCAAATAATGTGCAAAATTAATATGAGTAGCGTTTATTTTGTATTTTTTCATAGAATACAATCAAGAGAATCTACAATCTACGGTGGTTACCCAGTTAATCTGCTTGCAGGGAAGACCTGTGAGTAGTTAGCAACATTCACACTGGAAGCCTGAAACTTTTGCATACAGTCATAATAAACAGACAGACAGACAGACAGGTAACTGCATCTTGATTTTATAAAGCTCTGTGAAACTAACGCAGTCTATTTTGCTATTGTTTAGCTTTCTCTGCACCAGGGGTCTTCAGGTTAAGACTCTCACATGCTCCAGGAAAGGGGACAACGTATTGCAGTAGCACAAGTGAAAAATGCTTAAAAATGGAAGAGGAGGAGGTGTTGCTCCCTTTTTATGATTGGAAACCAGTTCAGTTTGGCATATGTAATCATCAGGTAACATGCAAATTAATATTACTTCTATTTTTCATGACCCACAGAGCTTGTTTTGTCTTATTATATTGTAAATATATGACGTTTTTCCAACACAGAGGTTTCATTTATGTTTGAATAGAGGCCTCAGACAGCTGCATTACACACTAATACAATGCCCCCATGTGGTCACACTGTGTCTACATAATACATTGAACCCAAAACCTTCACAAATGCAAGACTTTATTATTACGCTAAATAGTATTATTATTTATAAAGAGAAACTACTCAGTTTTAGTATCGTAAACTAGTAAAGCTGGGTAAAAAGGCCAAAAGACAATCAAAATGACCCTGCAGAGGCTGACGAGTTTAGACATTGAAAGAGAACTTGAATGTAGAGGTAAATTTGCAATAAAGCAACCCTCCCACTTCTTTCAAACTCCACACTATTAGGTTATAAGAATAATAATTGTTTTTTAAAAATAATTTTTCAAAAGTCCATGTTATTGTGTGCAAAATAGAATTTCTAGACATGCTAATTTCTTCTTTTGAACTTTATCTGTATTCATAGGTGGGGTCTGGAGTTTTACAGAAATTTTATTCCAGTGGCATCACATTCCTTACCATGTTCCCTGGTGGCTCTGCTCAGGTCTTGTATCCTCTCAGATTTGATCAGATTGATCATGAGACTTTGCGGAAGTGATTTAAAAATGCACAATTTAAACATTAAAGAAATCCAGTGAATTCCAGTTGAATTGAATATCCTCTATAGTCAGTGTTCCTGTCCTTACCAGCTTGGTTACAGTTATCCCTCTGGCCTCTTGGCTGTACTTATCGTCGTCACTGAACACAATGGAAGAGTTTGTATAGTGTATGACGACGTATGTGCCCCTAATCAACAAATCAGAGCTATATTCCAGTCTGATGGCAGAGCGACATGCTATCACACCAATGGAAACATATGGTAGATAGCATTTTTTTAATATTTACCATTTATTAAATATTGCCTCTTTAAATTATATTATTAGCCATATAGTTTTTGTCTATGGGGTGTAAATGTGATATTTAAAATTTGCACAGGTGAGCATAAATACATAATGGCAATGAGCTACAGTCCATTTATATGCATGTATTTTTTCTGTACTCGCATTGCAGGCTGTCCTTAAACATGTCTGGTGGCCGATGCTTAAACAATGCAGGCAATGTAACTTGTAAGTGGAGCTGGGGTACTCCCACGCCCCTGCAGCCCATCTTTCTGTCCCTCAACAAAACTGTTGGAGTTCGAGTCCTGGGGAACAAACAAGTGTTTGTTTCCTTCTTGGCAGGCAGGCAACAGGCTAAGTTCAGTGTGGGTACCTGCTGCGCTCAGGTAAGACTGAAGTACTGTGCAACTAGTCTGCATATTGTGAACTGGCTATTTTATAGAATTAAACATATGACAAAACATAAGGGCTAAAATGGAAAAACAAAAATTGGAAAATATGTTCATTTTGAGTATGACACTGGAATAAGTCTAAAAGTTTGGATATGGGTATGCATTACTACCAGTTTTCTGATGTCTTTCTTTATGAAAGCAAATATTTTAACATTTAACTACACAGAGGGCTTAAATGATTTGCAAAATGACTGTAACAAATGCTAAAGTGCTTCATTAACGTGAAAAAAATCTTTGATTAGGGTGAATACGTGCATACTTCAGGTTCATCGCTCTCTAAAGACGAGCTGCTGGCATTGGCAGCCAAAATCAGGATCCACGCAGCAATTCAGCATCTTCACCAGTACCTGACGACGCCCTTACATCCCCAAAAACTTAAGACTACACCAGCCCATCACTTACAGGTTACTGCTCAAAGGCTCCTGAAAGTCAGTGATGATGTAATGATGAATGACAGTGACAAAGCCTTCATCCTCAAGTGCCTTCAGGATTGTTGATGTATATGTAATATTGGAACATGATGACAGTGACTGGGGGAGGGGAAAAAAAAAAAAAAGCAAAGCTGGAAAAACATTTTGCATGTCTCATTTTTTTGACTTTAGTTACCAGAAAACGAAAGGAAAAAAGAAAAAACATTTTATGTACTAGCACCTGAGTGCCAGCATGTCGATATATAGAGATAATCCTTATAGCATGCTTGGCTGAATCAGTATTTTCTCATTTAAGGCCAGACTTACCTTTATTTTAAATTCAATTTAAATGGAGCCCGGTTTCACAAAGAGAATATCAAGTAAAGGTATTATACAATTAACCCAATAAATGACTTTCATTACTCCTTGTCTAAATAAAGTCATCTGTTGCACATTAACCACTTTATTTCTTTTAGGCTGGTCTTGTAGTTGTTTTTTTTAAATTTCTCCTCTCTTTTGCCTCGTAATATAAAAATCAGTGTAGAGCTTCCCGAAGATTTGATAATCAGGTTGTTACTCCAGATATTTCATACCATTGCATAGTATACCCACAGTAAATTATAAGCCTGATGACAACAGATGCGTTAGTATGTCAACTCAACACCACACAGCAGTTTCAGAGTTAAATAGTTAACAATATGTTTTATTAATCTTCTTAGTTTCCTCCAAGGTTTGTAAATATAAAAATTCAGAAATCATACCAACAGGTTCCCAATGTTATTTTCACAACAGTGATGACAGACTTTTAAGTGCTGCAAATTTCTACACGGTAAACTACTTGATAAACAAATTTCTACATATGGCTCAGTGGTACAAATGACATTGTTTCGTTTTTTCACCACAGAGATCAAATCATATTCAAATAGTTAAAGACTACAAGAACCAATGTTAACTCTCTCCTTATGGGCTCACTAATATCACCTGGATGAACTCTGTAGTAGTATGAATAGTACAAGAAAATGACAAAATGGCCAGCACTGTTGCCATGGATCCCACTCTGGCGTCAGGGGCGGGTCATCTCTAAGGGGCACAGTGAAGAGTGATGGGGACATCCAGTCTGTGCTAGCAGTGTTCCTGCCTTCAGCGCAGACGTTCATAAACATCACCTCACAGCCCAGTGAGAAACCCACCTCAGACCTAGAAGGGCAGAGAAAGGAGCAGGCCAAATTAAAAAGCATAAACCTTCACTTTAGTAGAAGTGACTCCAAAACAAACAAAAACAAAAAAAAGTCTTTGTCACACGACTGTACTTACATGGATGGGCTTTTAGCTTCAGCTAGGAATTGAACAGTAAGGTTATGAATGGTGGTGGTGCCTTGCGTTCATGTGAACGTTCATCTTCATTTCATTATCCAGGATTTGCACAAGCTGCTGCATGGAGGGCAGGTGACCTGACTCCAATTTGGACCACACTGGTACATCTATAAAAGAATATTTTCATTTTAATTTGTGGGCTAGATTTTGTTCCATCATCTCAAGTTTATGAATGTTATTGCAAGAAAAATTAAATAAAGTCAAATCCACTGGGCACTAAGTACGTGCTAGAATAACACTCACCATTTAATGTGATTTCAAACGCTCCTGTTGACATTAACTGGTTTTCAATCATGTTGCTGAGGAAGAACACCATCATGCAGGCATAAATCTGATGGAGAGGAAAGATTTCTTTTATTTAAACAGAGTCTGCAATGTTCAGTGAGCAGAAATTAGGACAAAAAACCCCACAGGATAAAAGTGTAGTAACAGGTTAGCATGTAGCTGCTTTAAAATATGACGTTCATGCCATCCGTTAGTGTAGCGGTCCCCAACCTTTTTTGCGCCATGGACCGGTTTATGCCCGACAATATTTTCACGGACCGGCCTTTAAGGTATCGCGGATAAATACAACAAAATAAAACTAGTATCGGTACCGAAAAAAAGAAGATTTATTCATAACACACGTGAAAATACCCAGGAAAACCGAGTTAACGATAAAAACGATAACAAAATGACGCTGAAAACTGATAAAAATCCTGAAAACCATACATTTCACACCTGAGCTTCAACTCTCGCGGACCGGTACCAAACGACTCACGGACCGGCACCGGTCCGAGGGTTGGGGACCGCTGCATTAGTGCAATTCAGTAGTCACTCTCAGTGGAGTAACACTTGCCAATATGTTAACATTGTGAAGTATATGGCTATTTCTCAAAATAAATACATTTTAAATCCAAGTCACATATGGGCTCCTGCAGTTATGCCGTTAAGACTTTACTGCAGGTCTAAGTTTTGTTTTATTTGTTACCCGTCTGCAGTTCGCATGACAGGGACTGACAGAGTTGTGCATGCCTGTTTTTGACGCACACTCTTGAGCAGCTCTCCCCATATTGGCTGATGACATTACAGTGCAGTAGGATTACACAACAACAAATGACAGGGCCTGGCACAGTCATTAAAACCAGATTTCTGCTCTCAAGCCAGCTGATTTAGTGATAGCAGTCTAGATTCATGTTAAATATCATGCGAAAGGATTCCATGCATATACCGAAAGCAGCTTTAAAATCAAACACATACTCAGCGGAAGAAAAACTTAAGATAGTCTTTGTTATCAAACATATGTGGCTTAGAAGCAATTTTAAAAGAACAAATTCACTAGCAAAACCAGCCCAAACCAAAATGAATAAGTCTTTATTGTGTATTTAAAGGCAAGAGTTGCTGTTATGCGCTTGGGTTTCAATGGCACAAAAATAGTTTTTAATCTTTTTCAGCCTTCTGTTAAAATGCAAGAATGACCATTATTGCAGGAGGGCTTTTGGGATTTGCCAGGTCTCTAACCCTGGGGATAACAAATCCAAGCCAAACAATACTTAACAAAACAACCAGAAGCCACCAAATGAAGAGCTAATGAAATCCTGCGGGTTTTAGTTGTACTTGGCAGCCTGTAAGTAAACGGAAACTAGAGCCCACCTTTCTTCATTTCTACATGCTACCCACGCCTGTGCTATCTGCAATAACTTGCCAAAACAATGTGCAGCTCCATCTACTGAAAAGCCAGAGTCTGCCGTCTAACACGCTGTTACACATAAAAACACTACAGTAAAAACGCTCCCATAAGGACAGTTTTGATTCCAGGAAACCTTACCTTATTTCCTTGGCCCCATTCCCACATTCCGGGGGCTTGCATACCAAAGAGAGCGAATGGGTCCCTGCCGATGATAATCAGCCCAATCACCAGCAGTTTGAAAACAGACAGGAAGGAAGCAACGTGTCTGTGGAAACAAAACAAAAATATGTTTAGATATGGATTTGAATACAGCTCTTATACGTGATAGCATAAAGCAGACAGAGCTTGTTACTGAAGTAAAGTCTCCCCAAAATCTTTAGTTTTACATTGTGAGACATTGAAAACAATGGTTAAAGACTCTGAGGGGGCTTGATACCATCTCCATTTCTTTTGCACAGCTTTTCTCGTGTGTATTCATTAGAAGCCCAGAAAAATACCTAAGAGTCTCAGTAACACCACACCTTAACTACAACACCTGGGACTGCTACACAAATACATCTCACATGTAATACAAATACAATCCAATTCTCCAGGCAATGATTCCTCAAAATGCCACAGACTAATTATTCAGAAACCAAGTTATAGTCCATCTAAAACGGTAAACACAAAGAAACAGTTCCATAGCAACTAGAATACAATGAGAAAGATTTCATGTGTTATTTATAAGTTCTCTTTTGGACTTTATTATCATAAGTCACAGTGCTGATTGTTGTACAGATGGACTTGTTGGTTTAGCTAAATACCTAATGTTCTGATGCAAGTCTTGATGCATGCTCAATCATCCAGGTAAGTAAATCCCAAAAAGTTGATTCTGTTCATCTGGATGTAGTGTTTTCAGTGGGAGAAACATTTCATCATTCATCCAAGTGACTTCTTCAGTCTCAGCTGACTGCAGGTTTCCCCAACCTTATAAACAGTGCATTGCATTATAACTGAAACCAGCCCACTGATTGAATAATGGGCTGTTAGGTCAGTTCCTTGATCATTAATATGCTGGTTTTAGTTATTATGCATTTACGCATGTCATAGTGCCTGGTACTTTTTTTAGTAAATACTTGACCAGGGGTCTAAGCGATCCGAGCAGGTACTAAAATGTGACATCATCAGACTGCATGCCACCGATTGGCTGGTCAGTAGCATCACTTACCTCGTTCACAAAAATCAAAATCTGGAAATGAGAGAAACAGCTACAAAAACAACGCCGTGTTTCCAGAGTCTAGCGTTCACATCGTGGGATGCTCAGACGTGGTGCTATGACTAGGGATGGGTATTGATAAGATTTTCTCGATTTTGATTCCATTTTCGATTCTGTTTAACGATTCGATTCTTTTTTTTAAAAAAGGAGAACACTAAGGTCGAATAGCTTAGAACTTTTTATATCTTCTCTTTGAACAAGATAAAAAATTTAGGAGTAACATGGCCTTACAAACCCAACAGTGACATCTTAAGAGATCCAGCCTACGGCTCTTCAATGGGGTGTCACAGGGTCCCCAGGGAAAAAAAAAAAAAAAAAAAGTAAAATAATAAAATAAATATTCTTCTGTAGCAATAACAAAGTATAACATAAATTATTCTGTAGTAATTACACAAGAATATCCAGTAATGTTCCTGCCTACAATTAAACACATTCACTTACCATCTGCTGTGGCAAATGGGTGCAAGCCTTTTACCACAATCTTAGTCACTGCTCTGTGACATTTGTCTATCCTGGCCTGAAAGGAGATGATAACGGTAGACTGCAGCGAGAACTGCCAGCATCTGAGCCAGCCAGACTGTCTGTCTGTCTCTCTCATCATGGTCACCTAAATGCACAGTAATGGCAGGTTTTGTAATAAGGCAGATCGCGCTAACATAATATGCACTGTTAGTTGATTATTTACCTGCCGCATTAACGGGAGACAACGTGCAAACGTTACCGCTGCTGCTGGGTCCGAAGCGGAATTAAAAACACGACATTCATTTAAGGTTATCGCGTGTTTTGTGAGCTTTTGCATATTCGTAGTGTTTCCTCCCTTAAATGAAATGTCTACTTCGCAAGTTGCCCTGTTGTCATCTGTTCTCGTAAAGTATAATCAAACTTTTGAGCGTTTGAGCCGCCATGTTTCCTGCCAGGTAAATGACGCTCCGCAACGTGGTGACGTCATTCGGGGCGACTGGAATCGATAAGGGAATCGTTTGCAAAAATGGCAAACAACTCCAACTCCAAGGAATTTAAACAGTGGGAACCGGTTCTTAACAAGAACCGGTTTTCGATACCCATCCCTAGCTATGACGACAGTCACGTGTGTTAGGTAGCACTGCTTTGTAATAGAAAACCAGTTGATCCAAGTCTAGGTGTGGTAATCCATGGCCAGTAGGTACTAATGGAAAAGGGGCTTAGGTACCAAAGTACTTGGTACTACAACCTAATGGAAAGTCCTTGAAAATGAGTTGAGCCATGGCGAGCTAATCTTAGTAGGTACAAGTGGAAAAGGGCTATAAGAAATATGGGAAGTGGTGGATTTGGTCATTTGGAACAGATTTTTCATTACCCTCCCAAGTTAAGGCTACATTACTATTAACTAATACCTA